GCACAACCTTTTATTTAATTTAGCAATGTGTCAAAAATGTTTAATAACCTTACCCTTTGATTTAGCAATTAAACATTCATGCTACTTTCCTACAGAAATATCCAAGGTACTTTCGTACACATCCAAGGTCCTTTATACAATAGCCCACACGTGCACAAAGACATATGAGCAAGGATGTTCATCTCAGCGTTCTTATAATAGCCAAAAAATGGAAACAATAAAGGCTCCATTACAGTTTTGCAGGGGGAAAAAAGGTAAGTGAAGAAACAGTGTATATAGTGTGATTTATTTTCCTAAAATGTTTTATATGTATATATGCATAGTTGAGAAATCCAGGAGGGTTTCTTCCAAAACGATATTTCTGCACTGCAGATTTTTTTTTTTTCTTTTTTGTCTTTTTTCGTGTCCGGCAACGGATCGCAACCCTCAGTGTCGCGCCCGTACCGGACTGGGACCAGCAACGGGATCGCAACCCTCGGTGTTGCGCCCGCACCTCACTCAGCCAGTGAGCGGGAACCGGTCTGTATGTGGGATCCGAACCCTCGGCGGGAGCGCCACCACACTCCCAAGCGGCGCACTGTAGCAGTGCGCCACCGGGCCGGCCCACTGCACTGCAGATTTATTGGTAATTTTTACTTTCTTATTAATTTCTTTAAATTTTTAATATATTTCTTTATAATAAACATCTACTATATGTAAAACAAAATGACAACAGAAAGCTATATTCACTTGGAGAAAACATGGTTAGAAAAATCAGAATAAAGACAAAATAAAGGTAAAAAAAATGAAGACAACAGTGAGGTCAATTAAAAAAAAAAAGCATCCAAATAGAGTCCCTTAACTGTAATTTGCCAAGTTTCTCCATTCATTTATTGATTAATTTGTTCATTCATTTGTGCAATTTTTATTAAGCACCTATTCATTTCTAGGCCTAGACTTAGTTGTTGGGGATACAAAGTAGAGATGCTCACTTATTCAAACTGCATTATTTCAACAACTATTCTACATCCACATATGTGTCAGGGATCGTCCTAGGTACTAAAATATATTCACCACAATAAGGAGGGCTTAACAGAGGTACACCTAGGGAACTACAGAACCACACAGGTGGAGCAACCAGCTAATCTAGAGTACAGGGTTCAGGAAAGTGTTGCAGGATATGCTGCCTGTGTTGAGCTAAGAAAGAAAATAAGAGTCAGCTGGACAGAGGAGAGAGAAAGGAGCTCTAGTTAACATGTCTGCATACACACTTGTATTTATATATATATATATATCACACAGTTTCATTTTTGATTTGTTCATACACTGGAGGTATAAGGCATACTGATATGAATGAAGAAAAGCTATTTCTTTATAGTGTTCCATGCATTTAACTCATTAAAACCTCATATGTGACTAAATGCTGAGAGTAAAGTCAATTATTTTTTAGCTACTGCTACACTTCTTATCATGCATGAATTGAATATGAGTTAAGAAATATAGTATGTTTACATTAGAAAAATGATATATTGAGGTCAAATTCTGAACAGCTAACTGCACAAGCTGACTTTCAGAACTTATAGCTCTGAATAAGTACTCTAGAACTATAAGCACCATATACTTATATATAGCTAAAAGAGGATATGATAAGAACATGAGAATCATGCACATTTGTAGACAGATGATTCAAATTTCAATGTAACAATATAAAACTAATTATTTACAAATATAAAAGTTTATAGCCTGCACAGTCATATACAAGTATATGCACTGACTATTTTACAATGAAACCTGAAGATACAGCTCCCAGATAAGCAGTGTCTGAGGGGAGATTAAGAAGGAATATGTTAGTTTCGTTAAGACTTATGAGGTAAATGAATACAAATATATCAGGAGATCTAGACATAACATAGACCTGTAACTATGCATTCATTTAATGAACATGTATTTGTTATTTGCCTACAATGTACTAGTTACCTTACCCCCTCTCCTACCCTATTACAACTATATGATGACAGATGAAAGAGAAAAAAAGGAGACAGGACTTATGAACTTATGACGTATCCACTGAAGGTAATCACTAAGTTACTGACACTTATATTGTACTTGCACCTATACTGTATGTATAGAAAATCTCAGTTGATTAGAGTGTGGTGTTATAACACCAAGGTCAAATGTTTGGATCCCATACTGACCAGCTCCCCCCCAAAAAATTATTTAAGGCTGGGCATTTAGCTCAGTTGGTCAGAATGCAGCCTTCTAACACCAAGGTCATGGGTTCAGTTCCCCTATGGGCCACCCATCAAGAAAAAGAAAAACTATCTTTCCACTGTGCAGTAAACTTTTGAAGAGCAGATTTTTATACTTACCTTTCCTTTCTTAGGATTGAAAATGGTGCATAACACATAGTAAGCACTCAGAAAGTACTTACGAAGTGATTATATTTAATCCAATCCATTTCTTAAGAAACAGAACCTGAATTCCAAGAAGAAATTACTTGTTCAGTCATAAAACTAAGTAATATCAGGGTTCAATCAGAAATTAGGGTGTATTAGTCCGTTTTCTGTTGCATGTAACAGAATACCTGAAACTAGGTAATTTAAAAAGAAAATGAAATGTATTTCTTACAGCTTTGGAGGCTGGGAAGTCCAAAGTCCAGGCAGTACATCTGGTGAGGGGTCTTCTTGGTGGGGGCTCTGTACTAAGTCCTGTGGCAAAATAGGAGAGAATGGCATAAACAAGAGAGCTTTCACGTGCTCTCATCATAAAGCCACAAGTTCATATCCATGACAACCCATTAAACCATCATTCCATTACTGCATGAATGGATTGATCTATTCACGAGGGCCTAGTCCTCATGATCTAATCAAATCTTAAGGGCTCTACCTTTCAATATTGCTATGGTCTGATTTCCCACCTTCTTAACACTGTTACAGTGGGGAGGGACCAAGCTTCAATGAGCTTTGGGGGAACATTCAATCCACAGCATAGAGTGTCCTAAGATGTGTCTCTTTTCATTACAAAAAGATGAGTTTTTAGTTCCCTCATCCAAGTAAAAGCACCCCTAATTCAAAAGTAATTCTTATCACTCCACCAAATTAAAGGCCACATGATGTCTTGATTATTTGTATGATTTTTACAGGATGATTTCAGGGTCCTATGCAGATATAGGGCATCTTCAGAAAGAAAGGCAACTTAACATTTGAGAGTTGATTTATCAAAGTAGAGATTTTTAGTAGTTTTCTTTCACCTTTTTAAAAATTATGTTTACTGCTTTTAAGACTTTTCTTTTAGGGCCAGCCCGGTGGCGCACTTGGTAGAGTGCGGTGCTTGGGAGCATGGTGGCGCTCCCGCCGAGGGTTCGGGTCCCATAAAGAGACCAGTCCGCTCACTGGTTGAGCGTGGTGCGGGAACGACACCGAGGGTTGCGATCCTGTTACTGGTCACAAAAAAAGACAAAAAGGAAAAAAAAAAAAAAAAGGTTTTTCTTTTATCAAATCCTCCCCAAGTAAGAACCAACTCTTTACCCTGGTACTCGCTATGCAAAGTATAGTCGCCTCTGCCCTTTTTTGTCCGCCTTTCTTCTATTGTTTCCGCCCCTTGCCCTTAAAAGAAATCCTCAGCCTGTAGAAGAGGCCCTTTTGCCTGCCGGAATCTACTGGTGGCGAAAAGGGCCCTTCTCAGTTTTATCTTTTAGTAAAGCCTGCTCCTGCTATAGAGGTGGATTCTTTTGCCATCTCCTTTTTATTTTTCTACCTTACAGTCCTGATATAAAGTACAACCATTGGATCCTGCTACAAGCCCCCAGCCGCCACCCTCAAGAATTCCGGCTTCAGGCACAAACTCGCTCTACTCCCAGCAACACTTAATATAGGCTGTTGTCTCAAGTTCAAATGCCTTCTGGGGGCACCTAAAAACTGCTGCCATTTTCAAAGACTGCTCTAGGGACTGCTTCCTAAATAAATAAACTTTAATTCTAATACTCTATTATATCCCCACAAACGCATGCAATTAGCTCTTAAGAAAATTATCTTCTGAAAAAAATTAATTTTAAAATCTTAATGATTTATTCATTTACTCTTTGGAGACAAACAAATGAATACTCCCTCATTAGCCTGGGAACTTCTGTAATGAAGTTACTCGGTCTTAAATCATCTCTACTGTCATTTTATTTAAAATGTTGGTTGAACAAATCCAAAATAAATTAACAATGTACCGGAGAAAATGGAGGACGCCGCACAAACAACAGAGCAAAGCCTCCGTGCGCACCAACCCTTGTTACACTCACCCACTCTCCCACGACCCCCCACAACCCGGGCAGGGAGGGGCGGTGGCGCTATTTATGCGGAGAGGACTTTATGATAAATGAGATTTGAGATGATTTGGGCAGCCAGTTTACCATGACTGTGACTGATTCCCTGGCCAAGGCCCTTCGGAAAGTTTTGGAGACCTTTTACTTCCAGCATTAAACCTTCTGTGTCCTGTAAACATCTTTTGTGTACACCTGAGTCTCACTTGC